AGTAACAAGCTTCGGAAATTCTACCCTTCCAGCTCTCTTTTGACAGTTGAATTTCTCTACTCCGCTAAGGACTTAATCCCCAAGCACTCTGGCCCAAAGCTCCAAGCAAAGATATAAAATCAATAGCAAAATAAAAAAATAATAAGTTCTATGAAGTATCATCAGGCAGAGAGCAGGATTGAGGGGGAAAAAAATCAAAAAGCAAAACAGTTCTGCACCGAACAGAATAAGAAATAGAAGGAAAGCACAGGTTATTTCCAGAAGTCTTAAAACCCTACACATCCTTCTCAGGATGTATTTTATTGTCTTCCAAACATCCCAAGGGCAAAAAAAAAAAAAAAAAAAGCTCCCTTAGGCTACCCATCTGTAAAATGGTCCCTTTCCATGCTAAGAAAAAAAAAAAAAATTGGGAGCATTTTCAACGGAGCTGCATTCCCGCTTTGCAAAATTCTTCTCTCTTTTTACCTGGCCGGCCAAGGTGTCCCCATACAGGGGAGAAACATGGACTGTCCCAATTGGGTTGGGAGAGAAATCTAGCATGGAGGAGGGAACCTAGTTCTCTGCTGGATAAGGCGGTTCGGTCCCCTGGTTGACCCCCCTAGCTTCCACGCCCAACATCCGAAGGAGATGCACATTTCGTGCGTCCACTAGGAGAAATAGAAGGGGGTGTGTGTCTTTAGGTGTGTGCCTTGTGTGGGAATCCGGCCTCTGAAAACAGAACAAGGATTGTGCAGTGCCAGGCAATTACAACCATGGATGCATTTGGAGATCCTGGCTATTGCCACCTCGTGTTGTTATTATAGTAGGGGCCAGATTCCCAGCTCGGTGCCAGGAAGCTGCCCTTTCTATGCCTTTCTCCAAAATCTCCTGGTGTGCAGTCTTGCACACCCAATTTGAGGCCACCAGACACATCACACAAGGGCTGTGTGAAGATCTTCCATCTCTATCGTCTTATATTAGCATTCTGCCTTTTTTTTTTTTTTAATGCTGCTTAAAATATTTTTTTAAAAAAAATCTCGTTCTTTTTAGGAGTTGCTTCTTGCAGGGCAAACTTGCTTCATCCAGATGGGCTGGACTTCAACTCCCATGATCCCCTGCCAGCAGTGGAATATATGGAGCTATGGGAGATAAAGTCCAACCGATCTGAAAGATATTTCAGATTGGGGAGGGGAAAATAAATTTATTTATTTAAGTAAAATACATCCGTGTCATCAGGATTGTATTCTGCATGCTAAGGCCACACTTTTAAATGCAGATATGTGGCTGGCCTGTTTTATGAAGTTATTTTACGTATTTTTTTATTTTAAATGAAAATGCAAGGTTTTCATTTTTGGCAATTGCTCATGTATTCCTTTGCTATGTTTTTACTCTCTTTCCAAACACATTTAAAATTGGCAAGGAGTTGAAACCCAATGCTGATGCATAATCCATCATAGTTATTTTACACAATTAATGCAACAAATCTTTTGGTGTTACCACTTGGTTGCGTTTTAATATCTAATGACTCTAGGCTTTCACAGTTTAAGGATTGATACGATATTATAGCTTAGACCGTGTTTTGTTTTGTTGATGGGCAACTGACCGATTGGATGCCAAGTTATGATTTTAACGTAGATTTTATGTGCTTTATATATTATTTTATAATTTTAAACTGGATATTCCTTGAGTGTTTCCCCCACCCCCCTTTACTCTGGTCTTTGACTGTTAAATAAACACTGACTTGACAAGGGGTTAGTGTATGTTGAACTGGCATTAAGTCAGACAACATATTGGTCCTGGCTATGCTACCTTTCTACAGGCAGGGAGATTTCATTGGAATCTGTTTATCTGAGTTCTCTTTATCTTCAATTTAAATGCTATAGCCAATCTAGCTAGCTCAGGGTTGCAGACAAAACTCTAAATGGTATAGTTCGGTTTGAGGATCAGGATTTAGTGAAATTCGGGGATACTCTCTCTCTGTGTGTGTGTGTGTGTGTGTGTGTGTGTGTGTGTGTGTAACAAACTATTCTAAAAATACGAGTTCCAGGTACAAGTACTTATAAGAGAAAAAACAGGCATCTAATGTAATAAATATAATAATTTTAGTTACGGAGTTCGCAAGATGTCTGTTTTTTCTCTTACTTTGGTGTGTGTGTGTGTGTGTGTGTGTGTGTGTTTTAGTGCAGCTATTCAGTAAATTGTTATCTCAAGATAAAATTCTCCTTCAAACCATACCCTTTTGTAACAAAAAGAGTATTTACCTCCATTTGTGTCACTAAGAAGCAATTTCAAAGGGCTCAGAAATTAATAAATCGTGTAACGGGAAAAAAATACTTTTAAATACAAATGTGTCTTAGCAGAGTAACTTTAGGACAGTGTGGCTCCCAATCTTTTCTTCACTACGGTTCCCCTTTAAATACCTTTTGTGGCCAGGGAATATGGCCACACGGACCCCCAAGACTTTAACTCAAGATTTAAATCATGATGTTTCTTCAAGACTTCACGGACCCCATGGGACGACATCATGTTCCCCCCCTCCCAAAGAGTCCACTGACCACAGATTGAGAACCACTGACTGTAAGACATGATCAGAGAGAGAAGTGAAGGAAGGATGAATTGAACACACCTTTGGGGGTGAAAAAGATTTGAGGTGGAAAAATGGCAAGAAACGTGGAAGTAAATTAATTTAACAAGAGATTTTCTAACTACTGTACATAAATAGTGAAGATCCAGAGGTAAGAAGCAACTTAAACATTGCAATGGATAAAAAACTAATTCACCCTCTGTGTGTGTATGTTTTTTTTTTTTTTTTTTAGTAATATTAGCCAGCTAAATTCAAAATTGACCAGAATTTTTTTTTTTAAGAGACCTGGTTTGAATGGCCTTGGGATTTCTGGAACTGTTTGAAGCATTTTTTTTTTTAATTTGAAGGACAAAACTAGCTGCCGTAACTGGGAAGCATGCCATTGGAAAAACCACATACCATTTACACAGATTTTGCTTCGAAACACGAATGAATTAATCACTGGCTAATCAGCAGTGTCAGGAATGAGCAAGTTTTGCTATTTTTAATTTTAAAAAGAATTTTTAATTTTGAAGAGCATGGCTTCCAGGAACTAGAATCTGGAAACTGGAATCATGAGTCACACAGAGTCTTTATGTAGATCTACATCTCCATTCATCAAGGATTCATAACATTTTTAGTGCAATTTCCTTCTGTTAAAAGTCTGACCATCTTACTAACTATCATCTGCTCAATTATGACTTAATACACAAGCCTGGTTCAGGCCCCATGCTAAGATTGGGAGGAATTTTGTTGGTTGCTGTGTTAAGAAACAAAAGTCAAGAATCAAGGATCTAGTTTTTAGCTTGCATCTATAACAACTTAACAATTGAATAAAGTTTATTTGGGCGCCACTGGCAACAATATTGCAATGAATTAGATAAAGCTGTTTTTTTCCCAGCCCTATTTGAACACAAAAGCTACATAGTGATTTAGCAAAAAGGGCAATATTTTCCCCAGATACACAAAAAAATAAAATGAACCTATTTTGAAACTCAAACCACTCCGGCTATTGCCTCCTTCCGCTGTTGGGAAAGGGCGTGGCTATTCAGTGTCCCGCCTCTTTTCTGGGGGCAACTTCCTGCAAACTTTTTTGTCTTCCAATATTTCCCAGGCAATGTTTCCCAAGTAATCTTATTGAAAATTTATTTTATTAAAGGTAATTTGTATCAAACCGCTGTTTAATTGTTCTTGTGGCTTTCCCAAATGAGAAAGTTGTGATTGTTGAAAACTGTATTTGGAGAGGGTTCTTATGTTCTTTTAAAAGGTTTTCTCCTCGTTTTTAGTTTTTAATTCTGCTTTCCTGCCCATCACAATTTCTTGGGGTGGTTGGTTTTTTTTTTTTTTTTGTCTTAGTTGTAGATCCAAAAATATCAGTTCATTTTTAACTGCCTTCACAAGCCGGAGATAATGAGTTCCACTGTTCTAAACCAGAGAGCAACTTGCTTTAAAATTGCTGGTGATTCATTCCATTTGCTGCTTTGTGTGTTTACTATTAAAAGAGCAAAAATCAGCCTGTTTGAAGACAGACAGACAGAAGAGAGAAAAATCAACCATGGTTGACAAGAGGTGGAATCAGTCCAGAAGAAATGAGATTTTAAAACAGATTTTTTTTTTTTTTTTTTTGCCATTGTTAGTTAAGATTTGCTAGAAAAGGAAATTATTTCAGAAGAGAATATTTTGTCCAGCAATTTGTTCCCTTGCTCTTATTCCCTGGAATTCAGAATCTTTTAAACAGCTCTGCTAACTTTTTCCCCCCAGGTCCAAAGTATTTTAAACTTCCAATTTTTTCCCCTTTTACTCTGGAGATTCTCAGTCCTCCAGGTCATGGTTGTCCCAAAAGCGCTTTTTCAAGAGGCAACTGGACTTTCTTTTGAAGACGTTTTGCTTCTCCTCCAAGAAGCTTCTTCAGCTCAAAGAATAACAAGGAAGTCCAGTTGCTTCTTGAAAAAAGCAACTTTGGGATTTCTCATGCCAAGCAATTCTCTTAAAAAGGGGCATAAATTTAACCTCCAAAAGGTTCTCACATTCTTTAAGCATCAGAAAGAATCTGGCTATACCTTTCCAGATTTAACATATTTTATTAAACGGCACAACCTTTCCTGAATTAGATTAGTTCATAAAACACATGGTAACTCTTCCGGATGGATCCCAAGACTTCTGTTTGCAAGATCCTCATCTCTGCAGGATTGTCTAACTTTCCCACGTTTTAATCATTCCCCTAAACGTTTACAGCTTTGCTAGATAAAAATGTTCAGCTCTGTGTATTTTACTAGGCTGATTAAAGCGGATATATTAAATCTGCTGATTCATATGATTGTTGTTTTTTTTAAAAAAGAGATTGAATGACAGCCCTTTAATCATCCTGGGAGTTTCCTTTAGCATTTATACTGAAAATCATGTATAATTTACACATCTACAATTTGAACAGGGATATTTGCTGGGATTTGTTTGTTTGTTTTTTGCAGACCCACTAAACACCAAGTCAATTTTGCCTTCTGGATTTAGGTTTTTTTGGATGATCGTGTGGGGAAAACTGAAATGTGGCCAGTTCTCTTCCAAATGCCTTGAGATTTGGATCCTGCCACACAAGAGAACATTTCTGAGCATGTACAAAAATCACCAATTGATAGCTAGCTTCTGAAGGGCTGGGTTCAAATCTCTCTGCATTTATCTTTAAGCAATAGATTCTTGAGGTTGGCCAGCTAACAGGAAACCTCTCAACAATTTTTCTGGCATTTTGAATTTCTTGCTCAACCCAGGATCACATCTCTACCCCACCAAATCTTGAATGGAAAAACATCACTTCAAGGTCTGCACCATCGTATCTAAGAATGTAATCTGCAGTTTCGAGAAAGATTTCCTTTGCAGAAAACAAGCTTGCGGTCCCTGAGATATTTGTGTTTTATTTCTCCTTTCTCCCTTCAGTCAGTTGATTTCCTGGCTGCCTCTATGGTGGGTGTATCTGATTAAAAAAAAAAATCTAATAAAATCAGAACTTAACTATGCATGCAGATAGAGAAATTGTAATTTCACCTCTCACGTTTGCAAACGCGCTTAGCTTTTCAGAGACGAGAGATTTGACGTCTCTCGTTGGCTGTCTCTTTGGAGTTTATTGAAATTATGTTTCTGCCTTCACCTGGTGGGATAGGGTACCACAAATGATCCAGAAAAAGGAAACAATTGGGGAAAATTAACTCCTTCCGTGAAACGGTTGCCTTCTACAAGAATATTCAGCTCTGTAAGCAGCATTTTAAGAAACCCTGCTTAACCAGGGATGAAGCTAGGTTGGATGTAACGAAGTTTTCAGACATAGAAACAAATGTCCTGAACGTTAGATTGCCTTTCTCCAACCTGATGCCTTTCAGATGCGCTAGGTCTCATTTCTAGAATACTTAAAACTTTTCTATTTGGGGGATTTGATGGCTAGGCTCTTCCTCAAATGGACGAGCCACGCAAGTCCACCATTTTGCTTCTAGGCAGACCTAGCTTCACTTGAGGAAAGCACTAAAAATAAGAATTATCTGCAGGTAACACAGGAGCGGAGGGCAGCCATTTTATTCATTGCTACAGCAGTTGGCAACAGAGGGCCCTTGGCGTCCCGGATGAAAGGATGCACAAACCATGGTTAGCAGGTGAAATATTAGCAAAGGGAGCTCTGCGCAGTATTTATTTAAAACACAGGTACAAAAGAGGGAAGCAAAACCATCAGAATAACAAGAGGTTGGAGGTCTTGTAGTCCAATCCCCTGCACAAGCAGGACACACACACACACCCGCCGCACAGACCAGTCCAGGTTTTTGCACATCCTTGGCACACGCGTAACTCACACCTTAAATTCAAAGCAAGCATTTGTAGGTGGGCCGCGCGGCTGCTTTCCAGTTCAGCTACAGAAATGCTGGTTGGAGGTCTGCAGATCAAACAAGAGGCAAGCAAAGGCAGACTGTGTGATCCTAAGGCCTGGAAGGCTGGGTCAGAGAAGGCGGCAGAGAAGGCTCCTGCCCACGTCTCATCTCAGTCCTAGGATTGTCTCTTCCGGCTGCTAGGGGAGAAAAAGATGGGGGACTCCTGATAACACACAACCACAACAAGGCGTAACTGCTGGTTACTCTGGTTTCCTCGTCATTTCTCAAGAGTCAACAACGGCTTGGAGGGCTCGCCTGACCCACAGCCCAAGAGAAAATGCTCCAGAGTTACATTCTTCCCATCCACAGCTGGGATTCAACCCTGCAGGACGCTTCAAAGTTTTAGGGCTTTCTTAAGAAGTTGGCTCAACCCAGGTTGTTTAGTTTTGTCTTTGCTGTTTTGGGACACACACACACACACACACACCCCTAGCAGCCTAACCCCCGTGTAAGGTGGAGATGAAAACCACGTGGTCCTGATCTTGCAGTTGATATTCCAGGTTGCCCTGAAGGAAGGAAGGAAGAAAGCAAAGGAGGGTCAATGAAGGAAGACAAGCAGACAGAGCTGGAAGGCGGAGTGAAATACGCCATCAGTTTGGCATCCTTGCGCCGCCACAAGAGACCCGTCTAGCCGCCACTGAATTCTGCTTATTTATTTACTTATTTGCAAAATTTATTGGCCGCCCATTTTACCCAGGGTAACTCTTTCTATTGACCCTTATTTAATGCTGACCGATAAGTTGACCGTTGACCGAGTTCTTGTGTATCGCCTTAAACAATAAATCTTTCTGAACGACTACTCAACTTGTGTTCCTGATCCTTTGTGCCTGACAGTCAAGGGATAGTTTGGAAGGCGCCGAACTCCATTTTGCTCCTCCACAATCCGGGGAAAATGCCCCAAAGTGGCCAAGGAGGACTGGACATCCCAGTGGGCATCGAGAGAGGGAAGGAGCCTGATGATTCATTTCAGTGTCCAGCAAGGAAAGGGAAGAGGCCCTCCAAAAACCTGACACCACAAAACCCCTTTGCCCTCCCTTTCTGCAGAAAATTAGACACCCTCCACATTACCAAAATGGGACATACCATCAGCTCCCAATCTGCATCATTAATAAGCACTAGGATTCCTGGGCGCCTACAAGGAAAAGAGAGAAGCTGTTAAAGAGAACAGGTTTTGGGTCTAGGAACATGCATGGCAGTGGCAGGATTTGTGGGGAGGACACTCAAACCGTTTCCTTCCTCCACGGCTTCCACCGCCGATTTATTTCCGCTTTCAAAAAAGATTTATTTTCCGTAACACGAATTAAATTCGGGTTTTTAGTTGTTCTGCCAGGCCTCAAAAATGTTGCCGTATGCCGGAACGACGACCCTTCCTGCTTTTAATCATCTTCAGGGGAGGAAAACCCCTACAATTTTCACCGCGTTTACTCTGCCCTCTTCTAACCAGCGACATATCCATCAAGGAGGTCCATCTCAATGGGTGAGCTGCCGAGTTTAGTCCCGGCCTACTTAAGGCTTCTTAATGGGCTGGGCTGGCCGCTTGCAAATCCGTTTGCAACAACTGAAGTTCGCCTCCGTTAAAAGGACTAAAGCATTTGGTTTGGTTTTTTTTTCCCCTGCGGGTTTTTGGATTCTCCCACCTTAAAGGTTTTTGGGGTGGTCTCGTGTTTTTTTTGGGGGGAAGATCCTTGAAGGCTAGTGCCCGAAGGCAGAGCGGCAGACGGCCTTGAGGCCAAGCAACCCCGATTAGCATCAAGGATAGGCTGCGGCTGATAGAGAGATACCCTTCCTAAAAAAAACGCTCTGAGGCAGCACGTCATCGGTGGCGTGGTACAATCCTGTTCACCTGTCATTTAAACCTGCCCTGCGGTCTGAGCGGGTTGGTGGTGGGAGGAAGCCGATGCGGTGAAAAAAAGGCTAAGTAGCATCTAAGATCCCACAGAAAGCCTGCCACCGTGGATGATCAACAGGAATCCCCTCTCGTATCTTCAGTTTCCTAGCCATTGTTTGTCCCAGGGTTCCGTGGGGAGGGAAGGAGCTGCCCTCCCACACACCGAATTTGGGGGGGAACTGAGGGACACGAATGCTAACCAGGCCGTCCTGGTCTCATGGCAGAGAGGAAATTGAGGAAGGGGTGGGAAGGAGGATTTCCGCAAAGGCTGCCTGAAGCGACCCCTCTGTTCTTCCAGGAGGCTAATGGCGGATAGCGGTGGCCCCACGCATGAAGACACCACCATCAGCTACGGGAGAACCACGCTCTCCCACGGACAGGGGCGGTGTGGTGTGGAGGATTAGGAAGGCAGGCCCAGCTCGGGGAGAGACAATTGCTCAGGACTGAACGCAGAAGAAGGGTGAAGCCCCCCAAGACCGGAGGGCGCTTGGCTGGGAACAGCCATTGAAGAAGAGCATATACACCGTACGGAAGCCACGGAATCGATACAGACAGACACTGGAGACGGGGGTTTAGTTCTGAAAGGGGAGTGAATGGCTCGGATTTAGCCGCGCTTCCTTCGCAAGCTGGGCCCGGCGAGAAGATTGCCTCTCGGCTGCCGTGTGAATCTCTGGTTAGTGTGCGTGCGTGCGTGCGTGCGTGTGTGTGTGTTGATACTCACACTGACTCTCCTTGCACAAATAATTCAGGCCTCTCTTTCAGCAGGTTCTCCTTGATCCACATCAGCAAATGTCGGAGGTTCCCTTAAAAATAATAATAAAAGAACGATTAAAAAAGACCTCACTGGGAGCCTATTACAAGGCCCAAGGTTGGCTTTTCTCCCCCCCCATCCTGTTCCTTAATTCAGGAAATCTTTCATTTCTCTGTTTAGGAAAAGTAGCACACACACACACACACACACACACACACACCCTGCAGAGAGAAGCGTGGGGCAACCTCCCCCTTTCTTGTTTTAGCGTCAATTTAACCGACAACGGGGCCCCCCGAAAACCATTTTCTTTTCAGGAAGGGATGATAATATCGGCTCATTTCTTCCTGGGGAGATGAGAAGCGGGCTGGAGGCTGCAGTGGAAATTAATTGGTTAAAAGGATCTTTTTAAAAAGAAGACAGGCTGGTTAATCCTTCATGTGGGGTTTTCCCTCGCCCCGCAACCTTTCCCCAGCGTGTCCGCTCTTTGTCTTTTCCACAGGGCTTGGTTCTTAAAAGTCACTCAGCTGGACCACTCCGGTGTCTCTTAAGGACACTGCATCAACCCTCTGCGTAAAGTAGGTGTTAAGACTTAATGCCGTTAAAATAACAAACGTTTAGCCCCGGGACTCATATAATTCAGCCCACTCCATCTTCAAATTATCTCGAAATCCTACCGCCAACACACACACACATGCTGGCCGTCAGACACAGCCGTAATAATACTGGTCCTCTTACCGCAGCACGGGATGGAAGGAGAGTGATTAGGGTAAGTGTCCATTAACAATTATCTTTAGTAAGGCCACACCTAGAGTACTGCATGCGGTTTTGGTCACCACATTTATTTTTTTAAAAAAGAGGTTGAGATTCTAGAAAAAGTGCAGAGAAGAGCAACCAGGATGATGAGGGAACTGGGGGATAAAACATATAATGAACTGTTGCTGGAATTGGTCTGGTTAGTCTAGTGAAGAGAAGGACCAGGGGAGACAAGGTAGAAGGGTTGGACTAGAAGACCTCCCTTCCAACTCTGATATTCCTAGTTTGGAGTGGCAGCCAAAAAAGCCAATGCAATCCCAAGTTGCATTAACAGGGATACAATCAAGATCAAGGGAGGTACTAACACCACTCTATAAAGCCTTAGTAACACCACACCTAGAGTACTGTGTCCAGTTTTGGTCACCACACTATAAAAAGATGTTGAGTGCAGAGAAGAGCAACCAGGATGAGGGGACTGGAGGCTAAAACATACGAAGAACGGTTGCAGGAACTGGACCTTGCTAGTCTAGGGAAGAGAAGGACCAGGGGAGACAGGAGAGCATCTTCCAATATTTGCCCCAGAGAGGAGGAAGGGGTCAAGCTATTTTCCAAAGCACCTGAAGGCCAGACAAAGAACAATGGATGGAAACTGAACAAGGAGAGATTCAACCTGGAAATAAGGAGAAATTTTCTGACAGGGAAAACAATCAACCGATGGAACAGAAGTTGCCCTCGGAAATTGTGGGAGCTTCATCACTGGAAGCTTTCAAGAAGAGACTGGACTGCCACCTGTCAGAAATGGTGCAGGGTCTCCTGCTTGGAAGGGGGGTTGGACTAGATGACCCACAAGAGTCATCCAACTCTGTTACTCTATATCTTCTTGATTTTATTCACCTAGGGTTCCCTCCCCTCCAATCATCAGCAAAAGGTGCTTCTTCTTTGGAATGTGTTTTAGAAGAGAGTCCAGAGATTGAGGTGATCTACTCATTTTGTAAAGAGATAAATCCTTTCCCCCCCCCCCCCCCAGAGTAAAATGTAATCACTGTGCCACTTCCACGCCCAGATTCAATTTCTAACCGTGATGCCTTTGAAGGGTTCGGGCGACGTAAACTTGTGAGGGCCCTGTCTTTACAGGGATGAGCGAAGGACTGGAGGAAGAGGGGCTTCCCCCACCCGCCCACCCCCTCATGCAGGGAGGGCAGGAAGAGCCATTGAGAAGTCAAACCTAGAACAGTTGGCGGAGCGGAAAGGAAGCAGTGGTCAGCCGAAGGATGGGAGGATGTGCTCGGTGGGTTTGCTCTGCTGCCTTTGGAACCGTTCTCAGGACTTTGGGACCATCACTGAGGACCCAGGTGGTTGGAGGGCAAGAGGTTGACTCTGTCCACCACTTGGGGAGGGCTGTCTATTATATCTCTCTAGCATCTATCTATTATCTATCAATCAATCAATCATCTATCTCTCATCCATCTATCAGCTATTTATCTATCATCTCTCTATCATTTCTTATCCATCTATCACCTATTTATCTATCATCTATCATCCATCCATCTATCATTTATCTATCATCTATCAATCAATCAATCATCTATCTCTCATCCATCCATCCATCATCTATTTATCTATCATCTATCAATCAATCATCTATCATCCATCTATCTTCTATCATCTATTTATCTATCATCTATCATTTCTCATCCAACTATCTATCATCTATTTATCATTTATCATCTATCTATCTATCTATCTATCTATCATCCATCCATCTATCCATCCTATATTTATCTAAGGGCTGTGATGGTACAATGGTTAGAATGCAGCATCGCAGGCTAATTCTGCCCATTGCCAGGAGTTCAATCCTGATCTGTTCAAGGTTGACTCAGCCTTCCATCCTTCCGAGGTGGGTCAAATGAGGAGCCAGATTGTTGGGGGGAAAGAGGCTGACTCTTAAGACTCTTAAACCGCTTAGAGAGAGGGCTGGAAAGCACTGGGAAGCGGTATAGAAGTCGAAGGGCTATTGCTGCTATCATCCTGTTCCAAAACAACCTCTTTCGTAGGACAAGGAGGCCCACTTTTTTCTCCTCTGGTTGGGGCATCTAGCAAGATCTCACCGGCCAGACAAAGTCGCAAAGGGCTAGCCCAGGTTGTGCGCCTGGTATCCCAGGAATGGGATTGTCCTGGGTCACACCCCGTACAGGTAGTCCTTGCCTGACAGGAGGTCATGGAGCAACCGTTCGAACTTACAACGGCACTGAGAAAAGTTTTTCACAGTTACAACCTTTCCAACGTCCCCACGATCATGTGATCAAAACGCTTGGCAACGTTTACGACCGTTGCACTGTCCCGATGTGTGTGTGTGTCACGCGATCCCCTTTGGCGACCAAAGTCAATGGGGAAGCCAGATTCACTTAACAACCGTGTTGCTAGCTTACCAGCTGCGGCGATTCACCTAAAAACGACGGGCAAAAAAAGTCCAGAAAATGGAGCAACCTCCCCTTTATGTCTCGCTTAACAACAGAAATGTTGGGGTCAATTGCGGGCGCAGGTCAAGAACGACTTGCATCTCACCTTGTCCACAAGGCCCTGGGCAGAAGGCTGGGGCCAGGGCACCATATTGGGAAAAAGAAAAAGGAGGAGGAGGAGGGGGAGGAGGAGGAAGAGGAGGAGGAAGAAGGAGGAGGGGAAGAAGAGGAAGGAGGAGGGAAGAGGAGGAGAAGGAGGAAGAAGAAGAGGAGGAGGAGGGGGAAGGAGAAGGAGGGGAGGAGAAGGAGGAGGAAGAAGGAGGAGGGGAGGAGGAGGAGAAGAGGAGGAGGAGGAAGAAGAAAAGGAGGAGGAAAAGGAGAAGAGGAGGAGGAGAGAAGGAGGAGGAAGAAGAAGGAAGGAAGGAGAAGGAGGAGGAGAAGGGGAAGGAGGAGGAGGAAAAGGAGGAGGGGAGGAGGAAGAAGAAGAGGAGGAAGGAGAAGAAAGAAGGAAGGAGAAGGGGGAAGGAGGAGGAGGAGAAGAAGAGGATGAAGAAGAGGAAGAGGAGGGAAAGGAGAAGGAGGAGAAGAAAAGGAGGAGGAAGAAGAGGAGGAGGAGAAGGAGGAGGAGAAGAGAAGGAGGAGAAGGAAGGAGAAAAAAGGAAGGAGGAGGAGGAGGAGGAAGGAAAAGAAAGAGGAGGACATGTATCGCCAAGCTGGTCAGCCGGCCATTGGGAGGGGTGTCGACGCTTCCCTCCACTCTTGAATGGGCTGCTCAGACACTTTCCCTGGGGGTGGGGTGGGGTGGGGCCCCTGGAGCCCTCCCCTAGGCCTTCCACCCCCACCCCCAGGAGAAGATCATTTGTCAAAGTGACCACAGCCAAGCTTCAATTTGCTGAGGTCACTACCTCCGACCAATTGTCATCCCGTCGCCATGACAAAGCGCCCCCCCGCCCTCCACCCATTCTCCCTGAACGCTGTAGCTCCTCTTTGGATTGATAGATGACTTATTCTTCAGGTTTAAAAAGTAATAATGGGGGGCGGGGGGGGGGGAGGAGACCCACTCGGTCTGGGAGAAGCCAAATGTGGCATGGCTGGATGAAGAGGAGGGCAGAAGGACAGGCTCAGGGAAGGTCAGAAGCTGAAACGAGGTAGCCCTGGGATGGTCTTTCTCATTTGTATCCCCCGCCGCCACCCCCGCCTCCAGAAACCTTAAATACATCATGCAGGGCTGGGGGAGGCCGTAGGCAGTGGGAAGAACCCACCCTAAGTGTCCTTTGATAGTGAGCTGGTCAGCATATAAATTTAACAAATAAAACTTTGAAGAAAATCAGATTTGTTTTCTTAAGTTTTCGCGGGTATTTATATGCGTGGTATTCAGCTTTGTTCGGGTATTTTCCCACGTCATT